GCCCGGCCAGGAGGATGCAAATCAAGCGCGGGATATTTAAATCCTGGGCTTGATTTGCAATTCCGAATGCCTACATTTGCAGCCCTTTTCCGAAATAGGCTGCAAGTGTAGATATACCCTAACAGACTAACTCAGCTACCCCCTAAAGCACCTTTCTTTGTGTTACTCTGTTGTGATAAGGGAAAAAAAAAACTATCAGGCTCATCAAGTGTTCACTCCCAACAATCTTAGGACTCACTAGGTAAGTACTAACAACAACAAATTGTCAACAAAAGTGCTTTCACTAGAACTTCAAGATATTATACACAATCCTTTGAACCTCAGCACTGCACAGGAATATTTGAACCTAGAATACAAACGAATGCAGACTGTGCACAGTTTATCTACATCCTTGTCAAAGACCTCATTCTGTCACAGAAGTCAGAGCAATCTCCCTCCTTTTCAGTTTAGCAAATGGATATTTTCTCTCCCAAGCCCTCCGCATATCCATTGCATTCATCCTCAAAACCAGGCAAATGGCCATCACTGAGGGCTATGCCTGTGCTACTTTCTGAACTGGAAGGCGAGAGATACACATGCATCAATAAGCTTGGCCAGCAGTCTCCACCAGCAGCATCAGTACAGTTTGTACCTCCCTAATTCAGCACCCTGGATGAGGGATTTTGCCAGACCAGTGGAGGTCATATTTGGCCCCCCTGCTATCAGCACCCCGAGCCCTGGACCAGCCAGCTTTCCCCTGCCCTACTGGTCCCTGCCCCTCTTTGCCTGCTATGCTAGGCAGCCCAGCTCCCAGAGTGCTGTGCTCCTGCCCTGCCAGACAGCACCGCTAGAGTGGGCCGGACTCCCGGCCCCACCAGGCAGTCCAGTTGGGTCGCGCTGGACTCTTAGCTGCCATCCATCCATCAGGATTCTCTGGTCCTGGAACATCCGTGGTCCTGCTGGATCGTGGATGTTGCTGGACCAGAGTCCTGGTTTACAGAGGTTCAACCTACAACAGCAGCAGTCATGGCTAAGGCTAAGATTTAGTCATGGATTTTTTTTTTAAGTAAAAATCATGGACAGGTCACAGGCAATAAAAAAATGCATAGCCTGTGACCTGTGCACATCTTTTACTTATAAATACCCATGACTAAAACTTAGCTGCTCCTGTGGTTCTAACTCTGGGGAATCCTTGGGGACAGTGATTAGCCCTTGCTCTGGAGGCAGGGCCTTACTTCCCTAGGTCACCGGCTATTCCCAGGCCGCCAGGGATCATTGCTCCGATGGCCTCCAGGGACCAGAATTCATTTTTTTACATTTTTATTTTTACAGTTGCGGAAAACGAAGAATTATCACCTCTAATATCATTAACTCACAGACATTTACCTCCCCCCTTCTGTTCTGAAATTTGATTTGTCCTTTTCATATGTGTTCATTTTTTTTAATTGGATCCTTTGGTATATATGGTTGTGACAATTTTCTGCCACATATTGATCTGAGGAAGTGGGTCTGGCCCACAAAAGCTCATCACCTAATAAACCATCTTGTTAGTCTTTAAAGTGCTACATAGTCCTGTTTTTTGTACTGACACTGAAGCTGTAAGGGACCCTGCTCTACTGAGGGTCCCAAAATATCTGAACAAGGGAGGCTGCAGTTCTGGCCACTAGAGCAGAGAACTCTAGCCAGGGCTGATTAGAGAAAGATTAGACCTCGGCCATGGGGAGAGCCACCCCATTGCTGAACAGTCCCTGCACAGGAACAGCTCCCACACTGATGGCTGGTGAATGACTGTGGAGTTGTGACAGCAGAGTTGCAGAGGGATGCCTGCACAGCCACTGAGCCAGTGACACTGGATGGATCCTTGCAGATGCAAGGTAGCCTGTGATCCCAGTGGGGTAGAACAGAAGCTTTTCCTGGATAGAACTGCAAGGAGGAGGAGAAAAAAGAGCCCCCGCCCATGGAGGAGGCCACCTTGACATTGAACGGCTCTATGCCCTGTGGTGGAGGGCTTCTCCTCCTCCTGCCTGGGATCTTTATTCTGCCTCACTCTAACTAGAGGCTTCCCCAAATCCTGTGCCTGCAAGGATCCAGTGACACTGGTTGGTCCTGCAGCTGTCACAGACACACTCGCTCTCTCCTGTGACAGCAGGGCTGCAGAGAGTTCTCTGTTCTGCAGGGCTAGTAACCCAATTTCTACAGACCCAAGTGGGAGGCTGCATTCTGACTAACTGGTATAGATGGAAATGCTTTTCATCGGTTTCAGTGTGTCAGCTGATATCAATATTTAACAACATCCACCAATTTAAATTGAGTCCTGCCAAGCCTTTCTATAGAGGGAAGAGATGGAGCCACAAATACACTGCTCTGTGCACTATAAGGGTGTGTCTAGACTACAGGGTTTTGTCAACAAAAGTGGACTTTTGTCGAAAAACTATACCTGCATCTACACTGCCGCTGAGTTCTGACAACATAACATCGACGGAACTCAGCAGTTTTGTCGACGGCTGTAAACCTCATTCTACGAGGAATAACGCCTTTTGTCGACAGAGTTCTGTCGACAGAAGGCATTATTGCATCTACACTGTCCTTTTCGTCTACACTGTCATGTCGGCAAAGCGACTTGCTTTGTCGACAGAACTGGCTGTAGTCTAGATGCTCTTTGTCAACAGCAGCTTTTTCGACAGTATCTGTCGACAAAACTTCTGTCGACAAAAACCTGTAGTCTAGACGTACCCTAAGGTAGAGATTTTGGACAGGAAGTTCCAGTCCGTCCACCAATCAAGATGAAGGAACTAGGCACAATTTTGATTTCTATCAGCCATTAGAAGTGTTTCTCTTCTAGTTATAGTGGCAGCGCAATATGAAAGATTTTTAACTTTGTCATGGTGGAGGCTCATCACCATAATAAATTCTGAGAATCTAGGAGCTGGAATCATAATAATAAGCACAGCACCAGCGTAAATAAGTGGTAAGTCAGCACTTCGGGTATATTCTGAAATCTGTGTCAATAGGACAATAGTGACTATTTCCTATGTAGGTTACATCAAGTCACATGCAGTAATTATAAGCCACATTTTGTAATAAATAAATAAAAACATTTTGGATGTTTTGGTTTTATCTGTAATATGTGTACTGCAAGATCCTGTACATTTAATATTTAACTATACAACAAAAGAAAGTGAGAGGAGCTTTATAGTGGTTCAGTGCTTCAGATGTGTTTCACACAGCCTGGGCATTTCTATTTGAGAAGTGAACTCTGAACAAACTAGGGATAACGGGCAATTGTTGAAACCCTACTGCATCTTGGATCACAAGTAAATGAAAAGAGTCCTTGAATTAAAAACAAGTGTCTAGCATTCCAGCACATTTCACCAGAGAACTCAAATACACTGTCACGGTTTATACTTTTTCACAATCCCTATTTGGTTTTTCCAATTTGTAATATCCTCTGAGCAATCTCAAAATAAAATGTGTTCTTTTCTCAACAACTTTTTTTCTTTCTATTTGAAAAACATTGATTCCTTCCATTTTTACCCCACTTGGAAAGCATTTTGCTTTGAATGGAGCAGAAATTAACAGGACTCTTTTGGTCTGTAGATCATTACCAACTTACCTGAATGGGAAATGGTCTTACCATCCCATGAAAATTCTCAAGTTTTCAAAAGTACTCCTGTTCCTCCTAAGTGCAAAACTGGGACCTTTCAAAAACTTTATAGAAAAAATGAGAGAGATGTTCCATCTGAATAAGGTGAAGACTTGAACCTAGCACTCCCACATCCAAAGCAAGTGCCCTAACCATCTGGCTATTAGTATTCTGGAATGATGCCTTCTCCGTGTCTCCTTTTTGTTAGACCTGTCCCACTTTGTATAAAATATTTAAATACTCATGAAGCCAAAGACAAACTGACTAAGCCAAAGGTCAAGGCACACACCTGGGACAGAGAGGGACTCAGGTTAAATCCCTACTGTACTGAACATTAAAAAATGAGAAATTTAGAGTCTATTAAAGGCAGATGTACATGTACTTCAGAAACACGACCATGGCCCACCTGCAGTACTGCAGCTTGGGCTGCTGTAGCATACACAGTTAATGCCGCACCAGAAGGGGTTCTCCCATCAGTGTAGGTAATCCGCCTTTCTCAAAGGGGGTAGCAGTGTCTGTACTTGGTCTTGCTCTGGCTTAACTACATCTCTCAGGGATGTAAATTTTCCTCCTGACCTTAGTTTTAGGTGTACACCAGGCTAGAAATAGCTAAGAAAACATACAGCAACAAAACAAACTAAATATACCATAACAGGAGGCAGCAGCCTTACATGTTTGCACAAAATACATGATAGTATTCCAGAAGGACATCAGTATGAAATAAATGACAAATATATATTAAACTGATTTTCAATAGTGCTGAGCACCTACTGCTGCTGTTTGGTCAGAGGGGACTGCAGGTTCCCAGCCCATCTAAAAATCAGGGCCATGAAGAAGTGAATTTGAAAATACTTGAAAAGTAATCCCATTATCTTTTTCCTTCCTTTTATGTAATCTTTAGAGGCTAACTCTTGTCAGGCAACCAACCATATCTCTGTAATTTCAATTAAATTACACGCTGTTGCTCTTGAAACAGTGCATGATAATCAGTACAAATAAACAACATATAAAAGGAGACTATTTACCTAATTAACACACAGTTTTCTCCTATTCTGTAGTATCGGAGATACCAGTGTGAATAAATCAGGCTTGTTTTGAAAGACAGGAGAATTTGTCTGCCAATTAATTAGTTTATCTTTTAACATTAAAGGTCCTCCTTAATATACAAATATATATTATACAAAATTCCCTTAAAATGACACTACTTCAGTTTTCAGACTCCAGCGACCTGGTCATCATGGGCCTGCAGACTGCTAGTAACAGAGACGTATGTAAGCGAAGCGTACTCTGAGGGAATGGGGAGCTAGAGATTGTGAAACTGATTGTGCTGGAAGTATTTGCTAATAGAGATGTCAATGAAGCCGAGAAGTTTCAGTACCTGAGTTAACTAGCTTCTGCTCCATGACCCCACAGCCCAGCACCTCCATCCATTCTCCTTGGAAGTTGATCTCCATCTCAAAGGAAGGGTGCGTAAACGGGAAGTAGCAGTCTACCCATCTAATTTCCAGTCCTGTATCATTGTTTAAAAATAAATAAATAAATAAATAAAAAGAGTAAGTATTTAAAAGGCTACCCCCTCCAAACCTTTGTAAAACTTGCCCTTCAGTTAATGACACCAATTACTACAAGCTTGAGAAAATAAATCGCAAACAAACTAATTTACAGCACTTTGGTGCACAGTAATAAATCTTGAAACTTGTGAAAAAATGGCCATGTCTTTTCTAATATGAAAAACGCTTTGTGCAATTCAGGCACCCTTTGAAACCAAATCAATCACTTGTCAAATTCCAGCAGCCACCTGGCAGAAAGGAAAATGAGCCAAGATCATGGGATGGTAGGTAATTTTGTTATTCTCTGAAACAGAAAATGACTAAGCTCCAAAAATAAAGCTAACCCTTTTTGTTGTGTTTTTTATTATTCTTATTATTTTACAATTTTAGTTATTACTGTAATGACACATTTAGGCAAATAAGTTTCCCTTCTTTTATTTTTAAATATAGTAATTTTAATCTCTTTACAAATAAAAGCTATTTTCCCTGTATGTGTTTGTGTATGAATATTTTATTAGGTTACACATAAGAGAATACTTAATGGTGAAATATGTTGTAACACAAAAGATATCCGTGGCATGAATTTGAGATGATTTCAGTAAAGGCAGTCCCTGAGTTACGCGGATCCGACTAATGTCGGATCCGCAGTTACGAACGGGGCCCGTCTCCCTGGTTTCCAGCAGACCAGGGAGAGGAAGCAAAGCGGCGGAGCACGCGGGCAGTGGACAGCCCAGACGCGTCTGGGCTGTCCGCTGCCCGCATGTTCCGCCGGGTTGCTTCCCTCCCCTGGGCTGCTGCTGACCCGGGG